TAGCTCTTTGCGCAGGGGGCCGCCGCCCACGGCCGAGCCCTTGTCCCGCCAGGGCACCCAGCACAGCTTCCAGGACACGAAGAGGGAGACGCCCAGGAGGACGATGCCACAGAACGTCACGATGACTGACAGCAGGCTCACCGAGATGTCTAGAGAGAGCGGGCACAGAGGTCAGGGGTCAGGGTGCGGGGGTCACAATTTATCTTCCCGGAGAGCTAAGCTTCAAAAAATAATTAAAAAGCAATTTTTTAGTATTTGCCATGCATTGTCCTAAGCAACTTACATATATTATTTATTTTAAACTCCATAACCCTGCAAGATGGGTATTTTATTTTATTTATTTTGGGGGGGGGTATTTTATATACCCATTTTAAAGATGAGGAAACGGAGGCACAGAGAGGCTGAGTGACTTGTAGACGGCTGCACAGGAAGTAAACGACAGGTCTGCGATTTGAACTCAGCAGCCTGTCTCCAGACTTTGTTCTCTTGACCGCTAGCACACGGTGCCTCTCTGTAAGAGGGTACACCCCCAGAAACAGGACCAAGGTCCCCCCCAAATGCTCAGAGACGATCAAAGAGAAAAAGAGTGCATGGCACAGTCAGGCAGGTCAGGGGTCACCCCCGCTTGCTGTGTGACCTTGAGAAGCTGCCTTAACCACTCCCAGCCTTGCATCCCCCATTGGCCGGAGAGGAGAGAATCGGTCCTGCGTGGAACCCCTTTTCTGAGTTCTGTGGGTCCTCCTAGGGGGTCACTGAACCTGAGGCTGGTCCTGACTTCCCAGGGTCACGTTCTGGCTGTTCCGCCTACGGCTGTGGGACGCCGAGCAAGTCGCTGCAGCCCTCGGGCCTCGCCCCTCAGCGCTGTGCCCTGGGCGGTCTGCCCTGTGCAAGGCAAGCTGCCGCTCAGCCTCCCGGGACCAGACGTGCTTCCGCAGGCCCCTCATCCAGCCCGTCCTTGCTCTGAGAACCCTGCTGCCTTGGAGCTGGGTGACCTGGGGCAAGTCAGTTCACCCTTCTCAGCCTCAGTTTCCCTCACTGGAAATGGGGATCATATGTACCACGAAGGGTCACTGAGCGTCGTCGATGGAACAGGCCCGGGGCCTCGCGGGCGGCCTGCTACACAGCTGGTGTTTAATAAGAACCTCCCAACATTGATGGGATGACCACTGTGTGCCCAGCTTGGCTAAACTCTTCACGTGTTGTATCATGTGAGTCTCTCATCTGCTCCACGGGGTAGTCACTTACACTGTCTCCATTGTCCAGATGGGGAAACTGAGGCACACACAAGTGACTTGCCCAAAGCCATCCAGTTAGTACTGGGAGAGGTGGGATTTGAACCCGTGCACGCACTATGCGAGATGCACAAAGGTAACTGGAGGGATATGCGGCAGCACGGGGGGGGGGGGGGGGCATAGGGCAAAACTCCACAAGGTCAGGGGTCAAATGGACCACACAGCTCCTGCTCCTTAGATCAGAGTTTTGGGGGACCAGCAGCAGACAGGATGGAGGCAGGACTCTAAGCGGAATCAGCCCCACAGGGAAGAGAAAGCTGAGCGGGTCTGCGGAGGCAGAGGCAGGGGCTGGGGGGACAGCTGGGGTGCTGACCTGCATCGGGGCCCCGGGGGTAGCCCCGGATTCGCAGGTCGTTGAACTCCTGGCACCTGTCGTTGGTGTCGGCATCTCGGACCCGGGCACAGAGGTCTGAGACCAGGATGAGTGCCCGTCGGCAGAGGTCATCTTCGTAGTCTCCGGACATGGTGACAGGTGGGTCCTGCGCTTGGGACGGGCCGGCGAGGGTGCAGGTGGGGAACGAGATGGGGGAGAGAGTGGGTAAGTGTGGAAAGAGAGAGAGAAAAGGAGAGGGGCAGGGGGACAGAGATTGGGGGCTGGTGGACAAGGGGTCAGAGATTGGGGGCTGGTGGACAAGGGGTCAGAGATTGGGGGCTGGAGGACAAGGGGACAGAGATCGGGGCTGATGGACAAGGGGACAGAGATCGGGGGCTGATGGACAAGGGGACAGAGATCGGGGGCTGATGGACAAGGGACAGAGATTGGGGCTGATGGACAAGGGGACAGAGATTGGGGCTGATGGACAAGGGGACAGAGATTGTGGATGAATGGAGAAGGAAAAGGAAATTGGGGGCCAATGGACGGGAGGACTGGAATTAGGGGTGGACAGGCAAGAAGACAGTAACAAGGGTTTGACAAACAAGGGACAGAGATGGATGTGAGTGGACAAGAAGACAGAGGATGGGGACAAATGGACCAGGAGGAAGAGACTGGGAAGGCCACAAGGGGCAGAGGTTAAGGATGCACAAATAAAGGGGTGAGCAAACAAGGAGACAAAGATTAGGGGTGCAGAGGTGAGCAGAAAGAATTTAGGGATAGTCATTCATTATGTGTATACTTTCAACAAACATTCATTGAGCACCAACTACATGCCAGGCACTACGCCAACTGCTGCAGATCCAGCCGGAACGAGCACACCTCACGCATTCCCTCATTTCCTGGTGTCACAACCCACTGAGAGGTGACAATGAGTAAACAAATCCGTAGACACATAAACAACACAACGCTCTCAGAAAAACAGCGGAAGGATGTGCCACCGAGGAACCAGGAGGCGGGTGGTCATCTGGGGAGGGGGCTCCGTGAGACCTGCGGGATGAGATGGAGCAGGCCAGTGGGGCTGGAGTCGGGAAAAGCATTCAAAGTAGCAGGAACGGCATGAACAACCGCCCAGGGTGGGAAAGGGCTCGGCGTGTCCCCGGGGACCGAGAGGAGGCCAGATCGGAGTAGACAGAGAGACAGGACTAAGAGAGAGGGGTGCATGGAGGTAGGGAGAGGCGAGATGGTTATGTGTGGTGGTGGCTGGGGAGGGATGGAGCTGCAGGATGCAGAGACAGGGACCAAACCGAGGGAGGGAGAAATGAGGGGAAGGGGAAGACATGGGTAAGAGACCATGGGGAAGGCAAGCTGGGGCTCAGAAGAGAGGGACAGATGAATAGACAGACAGAAGTCGGGGACGGAGACTTGGGATGGACAGCTACAAAGAAGAGCTGTGCAATGCACGGGAGTGTGAGAGATGGGCAGGCAGAGGGCAGTGATGAGGGCCAGGCAGACTGTGGCCAGCAGGACCTCAGAGAGAAACAGCAGGAGAATGGATGGTGTGCAGAAATAAAGGAGAGACAGACAGATAATGGCCAGAGAGCACAGCCGGACAAAAGGATCCAGAGGAGGGCTGGGCAGACAGACAGGGGTCCCGAAGGAAGGTTGGAGGCGGGAACATACATGAGAGGGGACCGGGAGAAAGAGGTGGATGTGGGGAGAGGGCACATAGCGACACATGGTTTGGAGCCAGACATCAGAGATGGGCTGGAAGGAGCGGGCAGGGGAGACAGGTGTGGGGATGCCGCACAGGCCGGGGCTCTGAGACCGGCATGGGCACACTCACCTGCGCTTATCCCTGCCGGCTCCTGGGTGGCAGCCGAGGCGGCGGGCGGCAGCCCATGGGGGTTGGAGGGCGGGCCAGGGACTGTGGACCCGTCCCCACGCGCGCGCCAGGTGGTGAGAGGGGGTGCCGGATCTGAGGGCCGTGGCCGGGGGAAGAAGCTTAAGTCCGAGCCTCACCTCTTGTCCTACTCTGACCAGCTGCTGACCCCAGGGCACCCCGGGCAGATCCAGCCACCCCCTCCCACCTCCGGGCCCCCACCGCCCGTTGAGCTTAGAGACTACAATTCCCGGCAGGCCTTGGGCTCGCACTGCAGCAACTTTATAGGCCTGGCGCTGCAGGAGCTACTGGGAGTTGAAGTCCCTCATGCCTCTCCCGGCTGCAGAGGCTGGGAATTTTTTTGCAGGTGGGGGGGGTGGGGTTAGGAGATGCTGGGGTCCCAAAGCACCGCAGGGGACAGGAATGAAGTCTGGGACCTAGAGCGGCCTCGGAGTCCTAAGTCCTTAGGGGCCGTGGAGTGGAGAGACGATCCCCACGCCCAGGGGGTCGGCCGGAGAGGCTGGGGTACACCCAGGTGTTTCGGGTCCCACCCCCCCACCTTCCAGGGCCACCTGCCCCTCCCCCGGG